ATATGATCCAGGAGTGTTACTGCATATTTGATTGCACTCATTAGTATCATCACTTGAACACTCGTTATTATCTAATTTATTAAGTGAATTATTAATGAACTAATGTATTGTATTCACTAACCAATGCATAATTTTCCATTAGCACTCAGTGTGTATCCTGTAGCACAGGAACATCCATAGGTACCATTATAATTAGTACAATTGTGAGCACAACCACCATTATTAGTCAGACATTCATTGATATCTAAAAAGGTAAAGTGACCAAAATGCTTAGTAATTCATTACATATTTGTGCACAATTTTAATTAAATTCATGTACTGAAAGTGGCCTTAGGTCATAGGCTATTTATAGGAACAACTGCAGTAGCAACTGCTTCTATAAATAGCATATGTAACATGAATATACAAGGTCATGCAATACCTGTGCAGCAGTTACTGCCAGTCCATCCATTAAGACAATTACATGAATTAGGAGAATCACATGAAGTACAATGATGACAGGAATCATCACAAACAGCTACAATAAAAAATGAAAAATTTATGCATTATAAATTTAATATTATTACGTGAGCATCCTCTATCATCAAGATCTAAAGTGTAGCCAGTATTACAGGAACATATATAGCTACCAGGAGTATTAGTACAGGTGTGTTCACAACCCCCATTGTTAGTATTACATTCATTATTATCTAATATAAATTTCAAAACACTACAGATGTATCTCATTAATGTCTTACCTATACAACTATGATGGTTACTGATACTAAGTGTGTAGCTTGAATTACACTGACAAACATAACTACCAACTGTATTCACACAAGTATGGTTGCATCCTCCATTGTTAGAATTACACTCATTAATATCTATAAGTATGTGAATCCAGTAACATTAGAAATAAGCTTATAGTTTACCAGAACAATGTACTCCTGCTGTTAGCTGGTATCCAGTATTACAAGAACAAGTGAAGCTTCCAACAGTGTCAGTGCAAGTGTGTTCACACCCACCATTACCTTGATTGCACTCATTGATATCTATGGAAACACGCTCAAGTTTTTGCATTTTTCCTTGATTGTTACATACTGTCACAATTGTGTTGGTCACTGTTAAGAGTATAACCAGTATCACAAGTACAGTAATAACTTCCATTTGTGTTGACACAGTTATCTTCACAGCCTCCATTGTTGGAATCACATTCAACAATATCTATAAGATTTGTATCTATAGCTATAGATTATGAAATAGTTTCATACCAGTACAGCTCCTCTGATTACTGTCTAATGTATAGCCAGTGTGACAAGAGCAAGAATAGCTTCCAACAGTATTATTGCATACTTGTCCACAGCCTCCATTGTTAGTTGCACATTCATTAATGTCTATATGATTAAAACGAACTCAATGAAATTATTGAGTATTAGATATGCTTACCATTGCATATTTTTCCATTACCAGACAGATAGTAACCAGTATTGCAGCTACACTTGTAACTACCAGCAGTATTAGTACATACTTGAGAACAGCCACCATTATTAGTCAGACACTCATTTTCATCTGAAGTAACATAAACATTAATTTTATTAGAGCATAATAATACATACCTTCAGGAGTTTGAAGAGCATTGCTACAGTTACAGCTACAATAATAACTTCCATCTGTGTTAATGCATGTGCCATTACAACCACCATTGCTACTGCTACACTCATCAATATCTGTGATAAATTTTTATCATATATGCTATTAATAGTAGTATTATTAGTACCAGAGCAATGATGTCCAGATTTCAAATATCCAGTGTTGCAAGAACATTCATAGCTACCAATTGTGTTCTTACAATTGTGTTCACAACCTCCATTGTTACTGTTACATTCATTAATATCTAAACAATAAGGTAAATTTAAAGTACTTTCATTTTGTGGACTTACCATTACAACTCTTTTCATTACTATCCAGTGTGTATCCATCATTGCAAGAACAGTAATATGAACCATCAGTGTCATGGCAATTATGAGCACATTCACTTGATCCATTGACACACTCATTAACATCTATATCACTCATTAATTAAAGTCACATAAAATATATTTAGAACTTACTGTTGCAATCATATCCATTTGAATTCAGTGTATAGCCAGTATTATTGCATTGACAAGTTCGACTGCCTGGCGTGTTAATGCAAATGTGATCACAACCTCCATTGTTAGTACTACATTCATCATTATCTAGTAAAATTAAACAATTATACTTGTCACAATGTCACTCATTAATGTCTTACCTATACAACTATGGTGGTCACTGTCACTAAGTGTGTAGCTTGAATTACACTGACAAACATAACTACCAACTGTATTCACACAAGTATGGTTACAGCCTCCATTATTAGAATTACATTCATTAATATCTATACTAATACAGTAACATTAGAAATAAGTTTATAGTTTACCTGAACAATGTCCTCCTGCTGTTAGCTGGTATCCAGTATTACAAGAACAAGTGAAGCTTCCAACAGTGTCAGAGCAAGTGTGTTCACACCCACCATTACCTTGATTACACTCATTGATATCTATGGAAACAAGTTTATGTATGTTTACCAATCACATCAGTATACTGTCGCAATTGTGTTGGTCACTGCTATTGAGAGTGTAACCAGAATTACAGGTACAATAGTAACTTCCAACTGTGTTGATGCATGTGCCATTACAACCACCATTGCTAGTGCTACACTCATCAATATCTGTAATAAATTATATCACATATAATATTGGCCATTATTGGTACCAGAACAATGCTGTCCAGAGGTCAGATACCCAACTCTGCAAGAGCATTCATAGCTACCGATTGTGTTTGTGCAATTGTGTTCACAGCCTCCATTGTTAGCGTTACATTCATTGATATCTATAAACCATAAGGTAAATTGAAGTACTTCCATTTTGTGGGCTTACCAATACAACCCCTTTCATTGCTATCCAGTGTGTATCCATCATTGCAAGTACAGTAAAATGAACCAACAGTGTCATGGCAAACATGAGCACATTCACTTGATCCAATTAGGCACTCGTTAACATCTATATCACTCATTAATTAAAGTCACATAAAATATACTTAGAACTTACTGTCGCAATCATATCCATTTGAATTTAGTGCATAGCCAGTATTATTGCATTGACAAGTTCGACTGCCTGGCGTGTTAATGCAAATGTGATCACAACCTCCATTGTTAGTACTACATTCATCATTATCTAGTAAAAATTAAACAACTATACTTGCTACAATGTAATTCATTAATGTCTTACCTATACAACTATGATGGTCACTGTCACTAAGTGTGTAGCTTGAATTACACTGACAAACATAACTACCAACTGTATTCACACAAGTATGGTTACATCCTCCATTGTTAGAATTACACTCATTAATATCTATACTAATGTAGTAGCATTAGAAATAAGTTTATAGTTTACCTGAACAATGTCCTCCTGCTGTTAGCTGGTATCCAGTATTACAAGAACAAGTTAAGCTTCCAACAGTGTCAGTGCAAGTGTGTTCACACCCTCCATTACCTTGATTGCACTCATTGATATCTATGTAAACAAGTTTATGTATGTTTTATGATTATATTACTATACTGTCGCAATTGTGTTCGTCACTGTTATTGAGAGTATAACCAGAATTACAGGTACAGTAATAACTGCCAACTGTGTTGATGCATGTGCCATTACAACCACCATTGCTAGTGCTACACTCATCAATATCTGTAATTATTATATCACATATAATATTGGCCAATATTAGTACCAGAACAATGCTGTCCAGAGGTCAAATACCCAACTCTGCAAGAGCATTCATAGCTACCGATTGTGTTTGTGCAATTGTGTTCACAGCCTCCATTGTTAGTGTTACATTCATTGATATCTATAAACCATAGGTAAATTGAAGTACTTTAATTTTGTGGACTTACCATTACAACTCTTTTCATTACTACCCAGGGTGTATCCATTATTGCAAGAACAGTAATATGAACCATCAGTGTCATGGCAATTATGAGCACATCCACTTGATCCATTAAGACACTCATTAACATCTATATCACTTATTAATTAAAGATACATAAAATATACTTAGAACTTACTGTCGCAATCATATCCATTTGAATTTAGTGTATAGCCAGTATTATTGCATTGACAAGTTTGACTGCCTGGCGTGTTAATGCAAATGTGATCACAACCTCCATTGTTAGTACTACATTCATCATTATCTAGTAAAAATTAAACAACTATACTTTTCACAATGTCATTCATTAATAACTTACCTATACAACTATGGTGGTCACTGTCACTAAGTGTGTAGCTTGAATTGCACTGACAAACATAACTACCAACTGTATTCACACAAGTATGGTTACATCCTCCATTGTTAGAATTACACTCATTAATATCTATATATTACAATTACATTGACATTAGAAAAAGAGATAATAATTTACCAGAACAATATCGTTCTTCCATTAGTTGGTATCCAGTATTACAAGAACAAGTGAAGCTTCCAACAGTGTCAGTGCAAGTGTGTTCACACCCTCCATTACCTTGATTACACTCATTGATATCTATGTACATGTATAAAACTTTTTGGCATTCTAATTTTAATGTTACATACTGTCACAATTGTGTTGGTCACTGTTGAGACTAAAACCAGTATCACAAGTACAGTAATAACTACCAGCTGTATTCACACAGTTATCTTCACAGCCTCCATTGTTGGAATTACATTCAGCAGTATCTATGATTATATTGATGACTAGCTAGCACTATGAAATAGCTTCATACCAGTGCAGTTTCTCTGATTGCTATCTAATGTATAACCAGTATTACAGGAGCAAGAATAGCTTCCAATTGTATTATTACAAACTTGCTCACAACCTCCATTGTTAGTTGCACATTCATTGATGTCTATCAAAAGAGAGCTGCTTTTTACTATTATGTATTAGATAGGCTTACCATTGCATGTTTTTCCATTACCAGACAGATAGTAACCAGTATTGCAGCTACACTTGTAACTACCAGCAGTATTAGTACATACTTGAGTACAGCCACCATTATTAGTCAGACACTCATTATTTTCTTGATATCATGCAGAAGTACATAAAATAATTTTATTGGAACATCTACCACATACCTCGACAAGTTTTTCCATTTTGAAGAAGAGTATACCCAGTACTACAGGTACAATAGTAACTTCCAACTGTATTGATGCACGTGTCATTACAACCACCATTGCTAGTGCTACATTCATCAATATCTGTGATAAATTATATTATATGAGCAATTATTAGTAATAGTTACAACTTTAGTACCAGAGCAATGCTGTTCAGATTTCAAATATCCAGTGTTACAAGAGCATTCATTGCTGCCAATTGTATTCTTACAATTGTGTTCACAACCTCCATTGTGATCATCACATTCATTGATATCTACATCATAATTGAGTTAATCATAAAGTAATTTATTTTGTATGTTTACCAGTACAACTCCTTTCATTACTATCCAGTGTGTATCCATCATTGCAAGTACAGTAATATGAACCATCAGTGTCATGGCAAACTTGATCACATCCACTTGATCCATTGAGACACTCATTGATATCTGTATCATTCACTGAATTAACATACAATAGAATGAAAGAGCTTACTATCACAATCATATCCATTTGAATTTAGTGTGTAACCAGTATTGCATTGACATTTTCGACTGCCAGGTGTGTTAATGCAATTTTGATCACAACCTCCATTGTGTTGTTCAGTGCACTCATTTATTTCTTTGGATTAAAAATATTAAGGCAGTATTATTGAAAGATGTTACAAACCTCGGCATGTTATTCCATCAAGTAGAAGCTCATAGCCAGGCCTGCAGCTACAATTGTAGCTACCAATTTCATTATGGCAGTAATGAGAGTCGGGGCAGCTATCAGTACCAGCAGTGCATTCATTAATATCTAGAAAAGGATGTACTATTAATACTAGTAGGGTCAAACACTTAACATTCCATTCTAATTCATAAAGAATCGTGAATTTTAAAAATGTAATGGCATGATAATTCAATGATATGAATTTCATTAAATAATGCAACAACAAAGTCATGAATGTAATTTGATAATTATTCTCTTTATAAATCAAATAAATTCTATGCAACAAGAAGTAAGTTGCAAATGAAAATATATAATATATTCAATTTAACACAGCCACTAAATATTTCACATTACCTACACATGAATGATTATTACTGGCAAGGTTATACCCTGAATCACAGCTACAGGAATAGGTTCCAGCAGTATTGTGACAATGCTGATCACAGCCACCATTATTACTTGCACATTCATTAATATCTAAAATGTATATTAAATAATCCAAGACGCTCTACTATAAAGACTGGTTCATATCTTAAGCAAGATGATGATACAAAACAGAATTATTGCATATAAAGCAATATGCATCAATGCCGAAGCATTTATTGAAAAGAATAAAACCAAGCTTAATATACCTTCACATCCAGTTGAATTATACAAACTATAACCATCAGGACAGGAGCAGTAATAGCTTCCGTTTGTATTGGTACACTGATATTCACACCCTCCATTTATACAACTTAAGCACTCGTTGATATCTAAAAGTTAAAATTGGTAATTAAGTAAAAAACTTTAGTTTACACTGCCAAAATATTTCACACAAAAGGCAGGGAATATCAACAAAGCAGTATAGGCGAACTTTATAATAAACTATGTAGTAGTTACCTGTACAGCAGTCAGTACCAGTCCAACCAGGACTACAGGAGCTACAGTTATTTGGTGAAGCACAACTAGTACAGTTAGCCTCACAGGTATCAGAACAGCTTGCTGTAAAAAACTAAACTTACATTAAATTTCAGTGTCTTACGTGAACAATTTGGGTGTGTTCCTACATAGCCATCACAGCAAACAGAGACTGAGTACGTCTGGTTTTGAAGTATTGTCTTATAGAGTGTTGTATACCTGCAAAGTAATATTCAATGTGGAATTAATGTTCAAATAACCAATTTGAAAGGGAGCAGAACAACATAAAGTTATACAAAAGCAGACAAAGTCAAGTTACAGTTTTGAATAAAGCACTAAATACACAACGCAACTATTGTTGCATGCAAGTTGATGTAACATAGTTTATACAGAAGTCAATGGAATATATACGCAATCAATGCATGTAACAATAAATGTTGCGAAATTGGAGCAAATGTCCACACTCAATCACACATATGTATTCATTATAAAGCAATTAAGGTAGGAGATTATAGTATTGAGTGAAGAACCCTAGTTACAGCCAAGTATAATATCTCATCAATGGCAAGTCATAGTTTGTTTCTGTATCCATTCATTCTGTGCACATTCTTGCTACCTAACATGGCGGACAGTCATATAGCCCCATACCACCCCTATTGATGACATTTGCCGGCTGTGCCACGCAAGAGCTCTGATAGGCCATCAGCTATGAATAGTTTATACTTATTCTTACATTGTAAAACTCATTAGTGTCGGCTTTCCCAAAATGTATTCTATGTAGTACACTTCGTATGCGTGTTTCAAACTGACGGTGACATTATTCTGTTGATACTGTGTCTCGTTGCATGATGGACTACAAAATATCGTAGAAAATGATTTGGTAAGTTAAGTCAACTGAAAAGGTATTTTCTTACACTGAAATTGATCCTTGAACATAGCATATTACAGCAACGTACAAAAGAAAGGCTAGCAACGAGACTTTTAAGCCATCCATGCCTTAGACCAAGAGTGGAGAAAGGTCCTGTACTTAGCTGATATCAAAATCAAATGGGCGTATACATAGTACAGGGCGTGGTTAAACCATGACCACGTGCTCACATGTGATCTCAGGCTCAGCCTGAGTAGCCAATGTAGGGGCTTAAAAATAACATGAGGGATGACCATTTATTGGCATGCATATTTTGTAATTATACAAAAATATATAAAACATTGAACAATCATAAAAACAATATCACTTTAATCATTCAGTGAGTTAGCAAACTGCAGTTAATGCAGTAATTAAATTTATCATAGATATTAGAGCCAGCTCTAATATCTATGAAATTATGCAAAAAACAATTAACACAGATTTTAAAATCATAGCACAATATTATTCTTGTAACTTATAGTTTTAGTAAAGAGTGAAATCATCCAAATGAAAACTGTCATTGTCCGATGCAGTGTGTTGATCATGTGGCTGGAATTTCTGTTTTGATTCAACCCTATCATATAAAGGCTCAAAATCTTCTGACTGGCTGATAAAGTTTGGATCTATCACATCTGCATAACTGATACTATCACTCTCAGCTTCAACTTCATTGACACTCTCAGAGTCTTGCTCTTCAAATATTGGATTCATAACAACATTACGATTAGGAAGCCTACAATATCATAATATATAATAGTAGCATATATTCTATCTCATTAACCTTTCATTCTCCCCACGAGACTTGGGAACAAACAGTGGGTTACTAATCACTATAGCTGATGGATTAATGCTGCCATAAGGTGACGAGTGTTGCATTCTAAGTTCTGAAGGCTTCTTCTTTTTTCGATAGATTATGATAGTTGAAACAATTCCAATAAACAGAATTATAGCTACAATAAAAATAACAGAGAAATATATACATAAATACAAATATAGAGAGTACAATATGCATGCACTTACATAGTCCAACTGCTACAAAACTAACTATGAATAATAATTCAGCAGTATCACTATCAGAATCATCCTATATAAATGAAATAGATGTTTACAGTAAAGTCAAACTTGAAAAGTTCTCTCACTACCTCTGGTTCTTGAGGAAGGTTACCTGTGTTTATAAGATAGTAATTTGTATAGTTATTGGATAGTGTCACATACTTTTTGAAGGCACCAATAAGAAGGAAGATATCGTTGAGGACAAAGGCATTGAGCTTATTTCTGAAATGCAATTTGTAATGTTGGCAGCATCATTCTCATCACACATAGTACAAAACACTGAGCCTTTGCTTAGTGTGTAAGTGAAAGGAGGACAAGGCAAGCAGGGAACAAGTCCAGTCAAAGAATAGTTACCAGGAGGACACAACTCTATTTAAAAATTATTGCACTAACGGAATTGCTAGTAATTGTAATTACAATTGTGTTTACTATTAGGATCCTTAGATCAAATTTTAAATCATTACAACAAAATTGAAATGGTAGTTGGGTCATCAGCCAAATTCCATAAAAAATCACTAGGAAAACATTACCATTTTATACTTTTTTCTGAAACATATTATGTATGGAGAAAATTTTAGCTCATTCTAATCAAAATTGGATTTTTTACAAATTTTTTAAGTTGCTCCGAAATTGGGTCAAAAACCCTGTACTATATAGTACAGTGTCATCAGCCACATTTCATCAAAAATCACTAGAAGAAAATTTACCAATTTTATAATTTTTTCTGGTGCGTATACATGTATTTATGTTGTGTAGAAAATTTTAGCTCATTCTAATCAAAATTGGATTTTTTACAAATTTTTTTAAGTTGCTCCAAAATTGAGTCAAAAACCCTGTACTATAGTACAGTGTCATTGGCCAAATTTCATCAAAAATCACTAGAAAAAAATTTACCAATTTTATAATATTTTCTGATGCGTATACATATTTTTATGTTGTCTAGAAAATTTTAGCTCATTCTAACCAAAATTGGATTTTTTAACAAAATTTTTAAATTGCTCCAAAATTGGGTCAAAAACCCTGTACTATAGTACAGTGTTATCGGCCAAATTTCATCAAAAATCACTAGAAGAGAATTTACCAATTTTATAATTTTTTCTGATGCGTATACATGTACTTATGTTGTGTAGAAAATTTTAGCTCATTCTAATCAAAATTGGATTTTTTACAAATTTTTTGATTGCTCCAAAATTGGGTCAAAAACCCTATTATAGTACAGGATCATCAACCAAAAATTACTAAAAGAGAATTTACAATTTTAATAAATTTTGGATATGTATACATGTACTTATGTTGTGTAGAAAATTTTAGCCTGTTCCGATCAAAATTAGATATTTAAAATTTTTTTAAAGTTGCTCAAAAATCAGGTTATCAGCCAAATTTAATCAAAAATCACTCAGACATAATTTACAATTTACCACCTTATATCATTCTTGATACAAATGTGTTCTGTAGAAAATTTTAAATCATTCCAATCAAAGTTGGATTTAAAAAATTTTTTTAAGTTGCCCAGCACTTAGGATTTGGCATGACCTTGTACTATTACATAAATGACTCAAAAAGAATTCTCAATTTTTTTATCTAATACATCTTTTATGTTGCATGCATGTTCTTGAGTGTTATAGATTTTTAACGGCCTAAATAAATATATGCATTTATAGCTAAACTTAATACTAAATACCCACATCTACTTACCAAAGCAGTCA